TACCTTCAAACATTAATAAACTGTTTAGCAGTGTCATCTTGGTAAAGTCACTTCTTTTTTCTCCTCTTCCGTTGCTTTTCGCGGGTCGCGTCTTTTTCCGCTTCTTTTCAGCCTATATCCGTAGCTGTTCTTGCCTTTGTGCGCTTCTCACACGCTTTTATTTTGAAAGAGAAGTGTAAAACCGATACACGATCAATGTGAACGTCGTTTTGGTGCCGCGTGCAAAATGAAGGGAACAACATCTCCGGCCCCGCGGATAATACAAACCCACTCTGGATCTCGAAAAGATCATGCTGACAAGAGGAGCCGTTGTGATATGGAGGATGATTCCTCTGGTAAGTTTAACTGCAGCTAACTAGTTAGTGCACATTCAAACACGCAGCTAGCTACATAGCTAGCTAGCCAAAGCTCGTAATTTTATGGAGCATTACTGTTGCAGCCTGACAGGGGTGCAGCAGCAGTCTTGAGCTGGTCACTCCTCTGTGTATTAGTGAGGGATGAAGTGCCTGTCCAATTGAAAATAATCAAACTCATATAAACAACCTATTTTCCTATTTGGTTACATTAAAACTCTGTTTTGAACTAACTAGTAGCTAGCTGCATGTTTGCACTAACTAGTTAGCTGCAGTTACTTACCAGAGGAGTCATCCTCTCTGGTAAATAATTAAATTAATTAAATTAGGAAAATGTGTCTTTAAAAGCCAAAGCAATAAATAAAACCTTTTTGGGCTTTACTGTTAAAACATCTGTTGTGTTAAGCATTTTTTTTTCTTTCCATCATGTCAACCTTTACCACATGTATTGTTCGTTCCAGATCTGGAAGTTGTGAAAATCATTAGCCATAAATAAATGTATAATAGAAGATTTATGAGACTTAATAAGGCATTGTTCTCGCTTTAGATCCAGTACCTGCAAAAAGCACAGTTAACTGTAAACAAGTGGATAGTTAACTGATAACAAGGGCATAGTAAAGTACATTTTATTTTGATAAAGCAGGAAAAAAATATTCTTAAAGGCATAATAATGCTCAATAAAAGATTTATCAGCCTTAATAAGACATTGTTCTCGCTTTAGATCCAGTACCTGCCAAAAGCACAGTTAACTGTAAACAAGTGCATAGTTAACTTACAGTAGATGAGCAATAAAGTGTATATTAATGTTAATAAATCAAACAAAAAGATTAATAAAGGCATGATAAAGCCATCATGGTTGGGCTAGTTGAGTCAATATATGTGTTTATAATGTTATTATAAACAGTTATAAGATACTCATGAGGATTTTATTAATGTTCGTAAGCATCTACAAACAGTTAACAAGTTTCTTATAAGTTATTATAAATCTCTTAAAGTCTGCTAATAACTGTATTATAATGAGACTATTAATAGATAGTCTTATAAACAAATGATAATGTTAATAAGCATCTTGTACGCACTTATAAGGGCCTTATTACCTATTAACTAATGCTTATTACAAGGACCTTAATATAAAGTGTTACCCAGAGGGGTAACATGATCACAGTTACATGCAGTTCAGATCCTCACGGTATGATTGTTTTGCACTGTGTTGGTTTGCAAATCTAGCAAAAAGAAAAAAAGACGAAGAAGCAATCGCTCACATCATCACCTTGGAAGCAACACTGGTTAGTGGTTTCTATATACAGAGACCCTCTAATCAGTCCTGTTCCTGACTGCTTCTTAGAATATACTCTAAAAAACTGCAAGATTGTATTCACACTGATTAAATGAACTGGACTTTAGGGTAGGGTGTACTTGAATTCAGGCCTGGGTCCCTAAAGCAAAACCCTCAGGAAATGTCTTAGCATATGCAGACAATGCAGGAACATCTGATGATGACCACATATACATATCAGACCAGTAGGTGGTGACAATGTGTATCAGTCTGTAGCATTATAAACATCATAGAAGGTCAAAAGGTGTATAATAACGGCACAAGTACATGGCAATCCTTAGTGGGATTTCTGGCCTGGTGTGCTTCAGAGTTTCCAGTCTTTTTCGCAGACCTGTGTGCACACAGATGGTTTTCAGGTTTCTTTTTTTTATCAATGCAAAGTGAAGACTCCTCTCTTTAAATAGGATAATTTTTATATAAACAAGGCCTTAGTCACCAGGCAGTACCGTTTAAGAGACTTTCCTGGTTTTAGTTTATTGCTTTAATCTGAAATAAATGATGAGACCATTTTTTGTTCATTAGTACAGCCCTTCATTTAGTGCTGTCAGATTAAAACCTGTATAAGATGCTACCTTGGTTGATACTATATGGACTTATACAAAAATATATGCTAAGGTGGGGGCATGTGCCACCCCGTTTTCTTGTGTTACAGCCTTTTTCCAAAATGGATTAAATTCATGTTTTCCTCATAATTCAGCACACAATTACTCATAAGGACAAAGCGAAAAAAGTTTGTTTGAAACTTTAGCAAATTTATTATAGAATATAAAATATAAAATGCATATACTGTAAGTATTCATAGGGTTTGCTTAGTAATTTTGTAGATGCACCTTTGGCAGCAATTACAGTCTCAAGGCCCTTTGAGAATAATGCTACAAACTTGGCAGACCTATTTTTGGGCAGATTCTCCTGATCTTCTCTGCAGAATCTCTCAAGATCCATTAAGTTGGATGGACAGTGTTGGTGCACAAAGTGTGAAGTGGACCAGTGGAGACTCATGCAGCTAACTCAGCTGGGTCATTTAGAAAATAAGAAATTCTGCTGAAGGGAAAGGCTTTTTCTGCAGTGTACTGTCAATCACCTCCCTATACCTTCTCAGCAGCAGCAGCTAAGATGGGCTTTATCTCATAAAAATAATCTATGGTTTCTGCTGGTTCATGTAGAGGCATCTGTATCCATTTCAGTCTGGTTCAGTCAAAGCCAGCTGAACTCTCCTAACAGGAGCTTTGACTGGCTAAAGAGGGGACACTTTCAAATGCACTTGAGCCATGCCCTTCCAGATCATGTGTTACAGAGTTCACAAAGGACTCTTCTCTACACTGTTGAACTAATAATGTTGATATATGATTTCATATGGACCAAAAATTATTATGAATCAATATATAACAATGTGATTGTTACAACTTGAAAAATGAATGATAACAAACCATAAATGACCTGTGAATAGGTTTTAAGTTTGTTTCTTTCAATCCTCTTTTACCTGAAGCACATTGAGAGTAAAAAATAGCAATCACAATGAGATTTATTGTCATCACGAACAAAGAACAAAACAATCTGAAGGTAAAAGTCAAGAAATCATCCTCTTTCACATCAAAACTGACATGAAATGTTCCATATCCCTTACAAAATACACTGTTATTACACTGTTACACAAAATGAACTCTTCAGTGAACAAAGTCTGTTCCATGTGCTTTAAAACATCAAAAATAACCTTCATTTTCTGGCATATATTAGGTAAAATATGTTGACTTCCTCTGTAAGTAGTAACAAATATAGATCACAGCTAACACATTAAGCAACAGTGAAAGGCATTTTCAAGACAGTGGACTTTCTTTAAAAAGGTAGCTCAATAAATCTGTTGACTTATTTTTATTCATTTTTTTACTTTAACCATTAACCATCCTTAACCATTTTTTTTACCATCTACATTTAATTGATTGAATATGTTCATTTATTGTCAAATGCTGTAAATCCTGAAACGCAGACTGGGTCTTTCATTTGTTTTTACTGTGTAAGGTTCCCGGCCTTTATTTGTAGCAGGCTTCAGGTTTTTATATCAAGTCATCTCCTTCTCTGAGAATCATAACTGTTCATGGTTTACACAAAGCAAGGGTCTTATATACTAACTACAGCCCAAAAATCCAAAAACAAACAAACAAAAATAAAGTATTGTTTACAAAGCACAAAGGTTTAATGTTCCCTTCTGCCAGAGATATTCGCATCAATTTAGATGATTACTAACATCTTCATTTAGAGCTAATTTCACTGCCCAACTCTCTGTAAACCGACCTTATCGCAAAGAACAAAGTCACAAACCTACAAAGTGTTATTTTTACCAATTGATGATTATTGATAAGTTTTATCACTTTGAACCTTTGGTGATTATTCAACATTTTCTCCTCTTAATGACCCAGAAATAATACTGCTATATTAAAATATTCCAAATGTTAAATCAGTCTGGGTCTATTCAAAAAATGGGTCTAAACAAAATGGGTTTCCCACTATTTCAATGTGTACAGGGCAAAATGGACAGAGAGAGAATATATGCTGTCATGTTTATAGGGTTGACAAAATCAGAGCTAAAGGTTCCTCACAGGAGCTTTAATGGCTGAATTTGAGGCCTTTAAGTGGAAGAGATGTTTGTTAGATGGACACCAAACTTGACTATTAACTCTGTTTCTTTCAGTGTCTCAAGCAGAAGTTCACATAAAGTGAGTTTAGAGGTTTAACAATGAAATGGTATTATCCTTCATTGTTTTTGTCAGTAGTAAAGAGTGTAAAATGGAAAAAGCAGGAGTAAGAAGTGCTTCAGATACAGTAAAATATGAGATGTATTTAAAAAAACAAAAACAAAAACAATTTCAAAAGAAAACATTAGTTACTTGGAAACTTGTGTCTTCAAATATAAATGTGATTTTTCAAATTGAGAATGCACATGTATGTATTTAAACCCTCTTACCTGAGCAGAGATCAGAAACCACAGACAGCGAAGAGACAAAGAGCAAGTTTGGTTTTTCGAGAAGATACACAGCGAGAGTTTGGATTATTGAGAAGACAGAGAGAGAGAGAGTTTGGTTTATCGAGAAGACGGAGAGAGTTTGGTTTATCGAGAAGACAGAGAGAGAGAGAGAGTTTGGTTTATCGAGACCTTTCGATTGAGAATTTTCTACGGCATCAAATCAACTTAGTTTTAAGTGGATTTATTTGCATATTTTCGAGGACAGAGTCCATATTATTACCATCGAATCACCTTTTTTTGGTGAATTCATTTCAACATTTTTGAGGACAGAGCCCAGAGTTATCATTTGAAGATGTCTGGTTTCCAGTTAGCTACTGGTTCACAGATCTTTTCAAGATCCTCCACCTACACGGTGCAGTCCATCCTCGGACAGGGCTCTTATGGCACAGTCGCACAGTGCACCAACATGTGCGACAACACAACTGTTGCCATCAAGACTATGAAGGATGAGTACCCTTTTGATGATGCAGCAAGGAAAGAGGTGGGAAGAGCAAACTAGCCGTGCTTACTTAAAACTTAGGCAGATTGTTTTCTATCCACAGTATCTGATCACTTCTCTTTAATGTGTGTAAATCCAAACTAAAACCTGTCTGTCATCTTTATCATCTTTATCATCCCATCTGTATATTTCGCATTTTATATTTATTACTCATTTCATATTTATTACTCATTTCAATAACCCACGTTCTTCATATCTCACTTTTTTCTCTTAGGATGTTTAGTATATTTAGTCTGTATTTATTGTATATACTTACTATTTTTTTTAGTATATTTAGTCTGCATTGTACTTTCGTCTTCTTCTATTTAATTTTATTTTGTATTTTTTGCTGCAGTAACGTGAATTTCCCAGTTTGGGATCAATAAAGTATATCTATCTATCTATCTATTTATCTATCTGTCATGTGTCCTCAGGTGAATGCCCTCTTTAAACTGTCAGTGCTCGACTCGGACAAGTCCAACATTGTCCAATGGCACAAAGCCTTCACCAACAGAGGATATTTTTGTATGGTGTTCGAGCACTTGGACAAAAGCCTCCTTGATTTTATAAGGGAGAGACCCTTCAAACCTCTCCTTCTGAGAGAGATGAGACCAATCATCCAGCAGGTATGAGTAACTGAATTTAATTCTGATTTTAAACAAGAACAAATACTGATGTTCACGTAACATCCTGAGCTTTGTTGTTCAATTAATGACCTTTATGACTTCTTAGGTCGCCAATGCTCTGGATCATTTGAAGACCATCGGTTTGATCCACGCAGACCTTAAGCTGGAAAACGTCATGCTGGTGGATCATCGACATCAGCCCTACAGAGTCAAAGTGATTGACTTTGGTCTCGCAGAAGATGTGTCAGCAACAACACTGGGCTCATACATCCAGACCCGTCCATACAGGTAAGGAACCAGAACCACGTCTGATATCTCAGCTGTTTATTGGGGGCTTGCACATCAACACATACTTGGGTCAATGACGTATAAGATTTTCAAACATGCCAATTTTAAAATAGCAAAAATAAGAATATATTTTGCAAAAGTTCAAACACTAAGGATGTTGTGTATACAAAAACTCATGTTACATTTTTAAATTACGCAATTTTAGTGTTTTTTCATATAGATGAATTGCCCGTGGCCTTAAAAAATGTCATGTGGTGCGACCATTATTTATCTCAAAATTATTACATTTTTTCCAACATACTTATAGGTTTTTTTTTTACAAATTGTCAGTAATATCAAGTAGATAGAAATAAAGTGTTTGCATTTCATTTGAGTTTTTGTAAATAATGGTCTCACATTTTAGCTCTTTAATGTCACAGTAGCTATATTAAATGTAGTTAACTGACTATTTTTTTCTTGAAATTGCATAATACTGTTAAAAATGTTTTAAGACTACCTTTCACTTAAGCATATTGTATCAGATATTAATGTTTCAGTTACAGAAATTAGATATTTTAGTTTGTATTTAATACTATTAATGTTATTATGATGATATTATCATGATATTTTGACACTCTTTAGTTCAGAAAATTTTCAAATAAGAGCTGATTTTTGAAAAGTTGAAGTGACTACAAATATGCAAGAGACACTACACATAGAAAGCCTATTTTTGTGCACTTAAACCTTTTCTAACTTAAAAAAAATACAGCCGGACAGAATATTTAGGCGTCACGTCATTGACCGACTTGTGTTTTGTTGGAGGATTTGCTGCATTATTTGTAGAATTGATGTGTGATATGTCTTTGTCCTCTCATAGATCTCCAGAGATTCTTTTGGGGCTTCCCTACACAGAGGCCATCGACATGTGGTCTCTGGGTATCATGGCTGCCAGCATGTACCTTGGCACTTATCTGTATCCTGGTCGGAATGAATTTGATATGGTACTTTAAGTTTACTGTTTCTTTCTCAGAACAGAGTTTCATGTAACTGAAATAATCATCAAGAATCAGCTTTTAATTTGTATTTTATCTCTAAACTCCTCACTTTATTACCTCCTCACATTAATGTGTATTTGATTGAATTATATTTTTTAAATCGTTTAATTAATTTATTCTTTTATGGAGAACTTTTCCTCTTCACTTTGATGTCACCATGTAACTTCTTGTTGTGCTGCTTTTTCAGATGAGGTTCATTGTTGAGACTCAGGGTCCACCACCAGACAACCTGCTCAATGAGGGGCTCAAGACATCCCAGTTTTTCCAGAGAGTTAACCGGCCCAACCGTCAATGGAAAATCAAGGTACCTAACACTAACTCTTACCCTACACTTTACCAGAAGCCAGTCACATTTTTTTTTAAATATGGGTGTTGATTTGGAGGCATTATTGTGTCTGGTTGGCTAAGAAGGTTTCCAGGTGTGTCAAAGTTAAACATAGTCTTGTTTTTTGCCAAGTATTAGTTTTCTAGGTTAAAGCTCAGGTGAAGAAAGCATAAACCATTCAACTGATTTATGCAAGTTGCTAGAACATGCTTCAGTCATTTTTAGGTTTTCTTAATGCAATGTCACTGAATATAAACAAATACGATATACTGAGCATTTTGAAACAGTCACCACCAGGGAAGCTGGAGTGTTGTGGGACAGTTTTTGTAGCCTAGCCAGAGTAAACACTGGTGAGAGGGGCCCTGAAATTCAGGTTGAGGGCAGTTCCAGTATAAAAAAGGCCTTAGCAGACACAGCCCTGAATATCAGTGTATTGTGACAGATGTGCACAAATGAAGCTCTTTCTGTTCTTTTGCTAGTCATTTAAGGGCAGTAATGCTCTGACTTTAAATATGACCACATTTTAAATACCTCAGTATAAACACCTTGGTGGGAACTGTCCCATACATGTCTTGTACAAAACAAACTGTGCCCTGACTGTAGCATCTATCAAACTCACTGTCTTTTCAGAGTGTGCTGAGATATTTCCGTGAGACAGGGACCGCGTCACAAGAGCGCAGAAGAGTCATCTTAAATTCTCTGGATGAAATTCTGAATGTACGTACTTTTGTTTTTGTCATTAATTTAAGAATAAAAGAAAAAGATAAAAAATGTTTAAAAATGTTAAAAGTTAAAAAAAAGTTTTTGTTGATTATCTGGTAATAAAACTAACACCTCTGACTGTGGTTGTCTTTGTCCTCTCTACAGATTCGAAGTTTAAAGTCTGACGCTGCTGCAGACAAAGTTCTGGAGATGAGCGACAAGCAGGTCTTTCTGGACATGCTGAAGGGAGTGCTCCAGCTTGATGCAGCCAGAAGACTGACACCCCGTCAGGTGCTGGAGCATCCCTTCATCACCATGAGCCACCTCACCAGCAAGTTTCCCTACCCGTCTTAGTAAGTGGAGACTAAAATTCTCAAACGTTCAGAGTTATTTCTCTCCTATCAAGTGTTTGCAGGAAATATTACTCGTGCTTTTTACAAGTCCCACAACTAATGAAGAAGTCTGATTTATGATTTGTTGTCTTGCAGTTTCACTTCCTCTTTGGAGACCATGGCTGCCTTTACAAACAACAGTGAGAATGCTGGGGCGTCTTCACAGCCTTCTCCCACAGGCAAACCTCAACCCTCCCAGCAGAACAGTCCTGCTACACCTGCTTGCAGCAGCAGCAGCCTTGAACAGTCACGGTCCCCCATCAACCCTCATCCTCACACTCCTTCCCCATTGACAAGTGGAGGCAAGACAGGGAGGAAAAGAAAACTTGAGGATGTTGATGAAAGTACGGACGAGAGCTGCAGTTTGTCCAAAAAAGTGAAGTCTGGGCCCAGGTAGGATAATCTACACCAGTAACATTCTTGTTAACCTGTTTACAAAACAAATCTGAATACTTTAGAGGTTGATGGAAACTTTTATGGTCTTTCTGCATCATAATAATTCAACTTTTTTCTTAAAATTACAGCGAAACACCTGCATGCCAGTTCACCTCCTGCAGTAGCCAGCATGCAGCTGACATCACCCAGAAGAGCACTCCTAACCACCCTGATCATCCTCCTTTGCTGACCACCAACACTCAAGAGAGGACGAGGAAGAGAGCCAGATCAGGAGATGGTTCTCAGCAATCTGATACAGAAACACCCGAAACTGACCACCGCAACAAAACTCTTCATCTTAGCTTGGGTCTGGCTGGAGACAAGAGCAAATCAGGAGTCAAGAGAAAAGCGGCTGAAGATTTTGGTCAGAGATCAGAAAAAAGGAGAAGGAGTTTGTAGAGGGCTCAGGTAAGTCAATATAGTCAACACACAATGTGTAATGCTTTTTGTAGTTTAAAACAAAATATCATAACATGCTGTCAACCACAGTAACACATAAGTTTGTCTAACAAGTCCTTGTTGACTTCCAGGACCAGAGGTGTGGACTACACCTGAGCAGTGGAGCCATCAGAACAGCAACCTCCATATACCCCTGTCCTCTCCCCTCTTCACTCTACATTCCTCCCCAACCCAGCAGCGGCATGGTGGCTGTCTAACATGAGTCGGGTCCTGCCCAAGGTTTCTGCCTGTTAAAAGGAAGTTTTTCCTTGCCACTGTTACTCATGTTAGTTGAGATGGGCCAAAACCCATCTTAGGTTGGTTCTTGATCATCAAACAATGAGCGTGGTCTAGACCTGCTCTTGTTCCTTGAAAAGCGTCTTGAGATGACGACTGTTGTGAATTGGCGCTATATAAATACAATTTGATTGATTGATTGATTGATTGATATGCAGTATTGTGAAGCAGCATCTGAATGGCAACCTCAGTGCTGTTTTTGTTAAAAGAAATCTGTACAGCAACCCCCATATGCAGTTTTGTAAAGTACCATCTGAACATCAACCTCCAAGCAGTTTTTGTAAAGTGGCATCTAAACAGCAACCTCCATGCTTTTTTTTTTTATTTTTTAAGTGGCATCAGAACAGCAACCTCCATGCTGTTTTTGAAAAGTGGCATCTAAGCAGCAACCTCCATGCTGTTTTTGTAAAATGGCATCTGACAGCAACCTCAGTGCTGTTTTTGTAATGTGACATCTGAACAGCCACCGCCATGCTGTTTATTTTTTTTAAGTAGCATCTGAACAGCAACCTCCATGCTGTTTTTGAAAAGTGGCATCTGACGGCAACATCAATACACTGTCCTTGTTAAGTGGCATCGGAACAGCAACCTCTATGCTGTCTTTGTAAAGTGGCATCGGAACAGCAACCTCCATGCTGTTTCTGTAGAGTGGCATTGTCCTCTTCAGAAGAACACCAATACTCCAGAGAGGAAGATCAAGAGAGCCAGATCAGGGAATGGTTCTCAAAAAACAGATGTAGTCCTCAAACTGACCACCACAACACAACTCTTCATCCAAGTTTGACTGAGGCTGAAGACCAGGGCCAATCAGATCTTAGATGAAGGTTCAGGTGAGTCAATATAGTCAGAACACAATGTGTCATGCTTTTTGTAGTTCTTTCAAACACAACAACACATGAGTGTGTCTAACAAGTCATTGTTGACTTCCAGGACCAGAAGAGCGAACTGAAGCTGAGCACCACCACCATAGGGGAGAACCACCATCGGGGAGTCCAGACGTCATTTTGAGGACTTTCTGGATCAGAGTGTTGAGAACCATTTCCTGATCTGGCTCTCTTGATCTTCCTCTTTTGAGTGTTGGTGTTTTTCTGAAGAGGACAATGCAACTCTACAGAAACAGCATGGGGCCTGCTGTTTCTGTAGAGTGGCATTGTCCTCTTCAGAAGAACACCAACACTCAAGAAAGGAAGATCAAGGGAGCCAGATCAGGGAATGGTTCTCAACACTCTGATCCAGAAAGTCCTCAAAATGACCACCACAACACAACTCTTCGTCCGAGTTTGACTGAGGCTGAAGACCAGGACCAATCGGAGCTTACTAGAAAGGCACCTCAAAATGAAGATGAGGAAGGGTCAGAGATCAGAGAAGAGGCAAACAAAGTTTTAGATAGTTCAGGTGAGTCAATATAGTCAGCACACAATTTGTCATGCCTTTTGTAGTTTGAAACAAAATACTATAACAAGCTGTCAAACACAACAACACATGAGTGTGTCTAACAAGTCATTGTTGATTTCCAGGAACAGAAGAGCAGACTGAACCTGAGCAGTGCCACCATATGGGAGTCCAGACGTCATTTTTAGGACTGCCACCATAGAGGAGTTTGTGACTGTAAAAGTCCTTTTATCCATACAGCAACCTCAATCTGCTGTTTTTGACAAGTTTCCGGTGAAGATCTGATGACCTGATGCTGTTTTGTAAAATATGTCTTGATTTTATGTTTTCAACAAAAGAAGTCTGCTTCCAGCTGGACAGGAGAGACAGTTTCCACTGTGTATTAATATTAATACTGTTTTATTTTCATTTTGTTTCAATAGTTTTGTCAAAAAAAATGTCAAAATGATTTTTGCCCATACTGTTTACCTTAATTTTCATTAAAGCCACTGTTGTGTTAACTCTAACAATGACTCTCTTATTATAGAGACACATTTGTTATTTCTGCTGGGGTGAATCACTGCTGTGATCATTCACAAATCAAGGTGTAGTGGATTGAATGGGTTCAAAGTAGGCCTGGGCGATTTGGCAAAAAAAAATGATCACGATTTATTTTGTCATATCCTCAGATCTCGATTAATATCACAATTTCTTTTTTAAAGTGCCAGTTTTAAAGTATCTGTACCAAAAACAAAAAAAAAAAACTAGAGATTAGTTCAACATTTTATAAACATACAAAGTAAATAACAAAGCAAATTGAATAAGATACACTTAGAAAAATCTAAAAAACACTTTAACTCAACAGAACTACATGTTCTACATGCTCTCCCGTATGAGGCTCTCTGAACATCTGTGCATGAAGTACAGCACTCTTTTATCCGAGGCTGCCCTGAACGCATCACTCTCGCATATCTTGTGTTTGTTTCCTTTCATTGAAGTGTTCATTTTTCAATAAACACTGCTTTAATATAGTTTACAGCTGAAACCGACCTGAATCATCCCAAACTGTAAAGTAAAAGTATCAATCCACTGTCTGTGAGGCTCAGCAGAAACAAAGGACTATCTCTGGTTGTCTGGAAACTTTAAGTAAATATAGTGATCCGATTCATGAATGAATGCGGACCATGCTACGAGAAATTCCCCGGAGAAATGACAATACGGGGGGTGGGCGGGAGATACGTCTGAAATAGGGGAGAGTCCCGGGAAAAACAGGAGTGTTGGCAGGTATGGATATGACTGATTGCTGCTTTGGTCTGTGGCTGCACCGCTAGTTGTGTCTAAACTGCTAATGCTACTCGTACCGTCAGCAGTGACAGGCTGTGAATCCGCTCGCATTTTCATGCTTCCCGCATAATCACTCGGGGAGAACAGATTTGTTATGTTGCCGGTTAATCGGCTTAATTGCTCGACGTCACTTTGGAGAGACGTTGAATAACTTCTCAACTATAACATCTGAGGATGACTCAAAGTCACGGCTCACATCTATTTTGCTGCCATTAGCTCCGCGTTTAGCTCCATGTTCGGTCATTCTGTTTACTTCTCCCTTTTGCTTCTCCGGTAACTTACAGAAGTGAGCAGGAAAAGCCCAACTCTGATTGGCTGTTGTGACGCACGTTTCTGCCATGTTTGATCGAGTAAATATGCTCACAGCTGATCACCGTGATCGAACTGAAATTTATCGCGATCATGGAGCACGATCATATAATCGCCCAGTCCTAGTGCACAGCCATTTGCAGACCCCTCCACAGAAGTTCAATTGGGTTCAAGTCTGGGCTCTGACTGAGCCTCTCAAAGACATCCACAGAGCTGACTCCAAGACACTGCTTTGTTATCTTGGCTCTGTGCTCAGGGTCATGATCCTGTTGAAACATGAATCTTTGACTCAGTCTGAGATCCAGAGCGCCCTGAAGCAGGTTATCATCAAGGATGTCTGTGTACACTGCTGCATGAGGACCCTGACTAGTCTCCCAATTCCTGTTGCTGGAAAAATATCCCCAAAGGATGATGCTGCCACCACCATGCTTCACTGTAGGGATGGTATTGAAAAGGAGTGCATGGTTTCCTCCTGACATGACGCTTGGCATTCAGGCCAAAAAGTTCAATCTTTGTTTTATCAGACCAGAGGATTTTGTTTCTCATGGTCTGAGGGTCCTTCAGGTGACTCTAGGTAAACTCCAGGTGGGCTGTCCTGTGCCTTTTACTGAGGAGGGCTTCCATCTGGCCACTCTACCATACAGGCCTGATTGGTGGTGTGCTGCAGAAATGGTTGTCCTTCTGGAAGGTTCTCTTCTCCCCACACAGCAACACTGGAGCACTGTCAAAGTGACCGTTGGGTTCTTGGTCACCTCCCTGACTAAGGCTCTTCTACTGTGATCACTCAGATTGGCCAGGCGGCCACCATATACTGATGATGGACCTCGTTGTTCACTGGGACCTTCAGTGCTGTACCCTTTTCTGTACCCTCCCCCAGATCTGTGCCTCCATACAATCCTGTTTCAGAGGTCTACAGACAGTTCCTTGGACTTCATGACTTGGTTTGTGCTCTGACATGCACTGTCAACTACCAGACCTTATACAGACAGATGTGTGCCTTTCCAAATTATGTCCAATCAACTGAATTTACCACAGGTGGACTCCAATAAAGTTGTGGAATCATCTGAAGCATGATGAGTGGAAACAGGATTCACCTGAGCTCAATTTTGATGTCACGGCAAACGGTGTAAATACTTATGTGCACGAAATGTGTAAATATATATATATGTATAAATGTTTAATACATTTGCTAAAGTTTCAAACTTTTTTACTTGTCATTATGGGTTTTTTATACACACTGTACACTGAGGTTGTTAAATATCCAAACTCTGCTGTTTCATGGTAAACTGGATTACAGACAACCTGAGAAAGATCATGCTGTTATTGTAGGGTTTAAGTAATCCATGGATTCTAATGGATAAAAAGTGTTTGGATTAAATCTCTTAATAGACTTTGTTGTGGTTATTGTTATTGTATGTTCTAAGGTTTTGTTTTTGATATTAATTGCTTGGAGTGAATTAATACGTAGCTGACTCAGCATCATTTCTTTTTTTTGTCCATTTTAGCTGGAGTCTGCAGTCCCTTCTGTTTTCCTTGTTTCTAGGTTTTCTAAAAAAATGAGGATTTTTTATTGTTCCTTTCTGTGTGGCATCCTTTCCCCTCACTTTTGAGCCCTTGTGACATGATATCAGAGATATACTTAAAGATTTATACAGCAGTCCATTTATTTATAGCAGTGGTTCCCAAACTTTTTTCCCCCAAGGCACACCAAAAATCTCAAGGCACACCTATTGTGCAAAATAGCCTTTGTAACACGTGTTATCACTCATATCATGTGGGCTAAAGTATCTATAAATGTGCATAATTGTTTACTGATGCCAAATAAGATGTGACAAAGACAACTATTTAACTCATAAAATAGCATTTATTCACAAAATAATTAAAAAAATAATTTTAAACTTTATCGAATCAAGCTTCATCAAAGCAACAACACACCAATTCACAAAATTAAAAATGAGGCAAAGGAAACTCAGCAGGGAAAAAAAAAAAAAGTTTTCAAAAAAAAAAAAAAAAGTGTTTAACTTGTTGAGATGCCCAAATATATCTGCAAGGTAAGCCAGCCTGGCGCACCACCTCTCATCTGCAAGCTTGTCCCTATGTGGGACAAAGCGCTCACATGAACATTCTTAAAGCTCTTCTCGAAGCACATAAAGACTAGGAAGGACTTTGCCCTGTGACAGCCAACGTACCCCCTGTGTGGAGGATCGGTGGTGAGTTGTCGGCAGTCTCAGCCCTGGTGGTTTGTGGTTTGCTCTGCACAAATAAGTGCTCCATTTTCCCTCTCGTATGTTTCTATGTTTTAATGTTGTTTCATAATTCCTGCTTGCAAAACTGTGCAAACAGCAAAATATGTGGTTCTCTTTGAGGATTTTTTTTTTTTGTAAGAATTGTTTTTAGGTATAGGGTTAAAGATTGCATACTAAGAACTGATATAATACAAATATATATATATATATTATTTTTGTGTAGTTTTGTAATAACCGTACATAATAATGTACAGTTATTACAAAACCGCACACTGTATAGGAACTAATGGTTTATAGAATGGTTGCTAATGTCAGGACTGTCTCTTGCAGCTCTTAGCATTAACATCCTCTCGGCTCATCACTGTCACCCATCCTGTCTTTGCTGGTTCGACAACAGAAAAACTTCCCCTGAATATAAGGCTTTCTCAAACCTTTTTTTCCCCTTCAACTATGAAAACTTTAAAGCACGACCTGTCTAAATTTTTAAGTTTCTTAATCGTTTTTGACATTAGTTCTTACAAAAAGCCTTAAAATAGAACTTCACCAATTTAGCAATGCACTTTGATGGCACGATTGGACTCATGATGAACAGCTCAACTTTAACACTTAAAATTACTTTTGAACACATAAAAAACAAAGCTATCTCATTGATTTCAGTTTATGACTTTGCTTTTATGAAAAATACGATTTCTTGGTGGATTATAGAATTCATTCCTTGTTTTCAGCATGCATACTGAGGAGAAAAGAGGGTTTTCTATTCTAAAAATCTATAATCGAATGGAAAATCCTTCTTCTGACCAGCAAAGCTCTGAATGATCAGGCACCAACAGGATTTCATAGATCATTTTACCTTAAGGACACAGGCCTAATTCATGTACCTAATGATTGCAAAATTACCGTATGGCTTGAATATGGGATGACCCTGATTTTAAGATGACTTTCCTTTTTCTGAGACTGATCCTGTCTTAAAGACCTAACATTTTTGAAGCTATTTTGATTGCCATGATGTTAGAAAACACACTTTTGATGGCAGACACATCAATAATTCAAATAGCCTGCAGTCTGTCCACTGCATGCAAGACTGCAAATTTCAGACGGTCCTTTCAGGAGACGCTTCTTTCACTCTAGGTTTTAACATTTCATGTTTCTGATAAGATTTACAGAAGCATACAGATGATGCCTTTGTGGACCCATAAGAGGTACTGTATATAATAGAATAAATGAAGAAATGTGCAAAAGGAAGCAGACGCAAGAGAAGTCAGGTGGGAGTCAGATATGAAACTCAAGAGGTCAGAAGAGGATGAAGAAAAGCCAGACTTATTGA